TTATTATGAAAAGGCGTTGGCGATGGACAAGGAAACCTCTTACTCAATAAGGGTCTATGAATTTGCGATGGTGCTGGCTACGGCCGGTGAATATGATAAATCTGTAAAATGGTTCCAGACCGCCCTGGACAAGGGCTTTACACCCCGCGACGATTTTTACATGAACTACGCCTATACATTGGCAGACGCGCATAAAACAGACGAAGCCATTAATATGATGGAGACCATGTTGAAACGCCGCCCGCAGGATATAGCCTTGCTGAATAGCCTGGCAGATATCTGCTACCACAGCGGGCGTTATAAGCTGGCCATCAGCTATTGGGACCGTGTAATGGCATTTGATGAGAAAAATGCCCGTCCGCTCTACCAGATAGGACTCGCTTATATAAAGATGGGCAATACCACCGATGGGCAGCTACTATGTGACCGCGCCATTGCTATGGACCCGGCGCTGGGAGTATTAAAGCATGAACGCAGAATGCAATAATGATCTGAATTTATCAAATTAATAAACCAGTGGCTGCCCTTTATAAGGAGCAGCCACTGGTCATTTTTAATAAGGTATAGGAGATATCATGCAGCGTCGATAAGAGCTTTTTTGTGAGAAAACGTACGGGCTAGCTCAGAAGCCGCTGCAAAAGTAGTGTAACAGCGGCTTTAGCCGCCACATAGACATCCATTAACTCATGACTTCAGTCATGAGAAAAAACACGCCGCACAAATAGTGTAACAGCGGCTTTAGCCGCCACATAGACATCCATTAACTCATGACTTCAGTCGTGAGAAAACAATACGCCGCACAAGTATAGTAGTAGCCGCCACATAGACATCCATTAACTCATGACCCTCAGTCATGAGAAAAGAGCCCCCGTCATGAATACAAAACGCATAAAAAAAGCAGACATTCTAAATGCCTGCTCCAAACTATTGTTGTGGCAATCCCACCTGTTTGCCTTTATTGATATTCCTGCCCTTCATAGAAGATGCGGAAGAAATTTTCACCAATCCTGTATTTAAGGACATCATAATTGAGATCAAAGTTTTCAATCGTGGCCGTAGTTACATCATAAACTTCCCCTTTGCTGAACATCCTTAATACATTGGCCCGGTTGACATACACCAGCGAATTGTATTGTACCGTCAGGTTTTCAGGATAGTAATTATCCACTGTGGTGAGTTCTCCTTTATAAAAAACCTTTAAGTAGCCGGTATTATCACGGAACGCAACCACATTATCACCAACCACAAAATCGGGCTTTAAGAAACCAATATTATAGATGCTGTCCTGGTAAAAGATTTTAAAATAGCCATCGGTACTTACATAAGCCACGAGGTTATCGCCCACAACATATTTCTGAGGCTCAAAATTTTCCGCATTGATTGTTTTTCCGTTACAGAAAATCTTAAAGATATTACCCGCATCCATATACGCCACGGTATTGCGGCCCACACCAAATGAATTAACCGGATTGTCTTCCTGTGCAATGACTTCACCGTGGTAGAATATCCGGAACTGGCGGGCGTAGTTGGTATAAGCTGCAATATTATCAGAAACGGCAATCCCCTTTAACGCGTTTGATGCGAGGTAGCTTTCTATCGGGTAGATCTCTCCATTGTAATAGGCTTTATATTCTGTACGGACGCCATCCAGGAATACAACCAGGCTATCACCCATATAGTATTCATTACAAAGCAGTGAGAGGTTGGTGATTTTACCCTTATCAAATACATTCAGCGATTTTGAATTCAGGAAGGTAACGAGGTGGTCACTGGTATTAAAAGAGTTGGTGAAGCCGGCATTGATAACGCGTGCAGCTCCGCCATAATAGATCTTAAAGGAACGGGAGTTGTCCAGGAATGGGATAGTTGTACGGCCAATTTTCATTTCTACCGCAGGCAGATAGTCGATTTTACGGATAAGCCCGTTATCCCAAACCATTACTTGTCTTTGCAGATTGGTATAGGAGGTGAGTGGTTGTGCGCTAAGACCCAGTGAAACGAGAAATAAAGCGGTAATCAGGGAGATGCATTTGCTGGCCATGCTGTTCCTCATTTGTGGCATGTTGAAAGATTAAAGATGCTTCATTTATCCCGAATAAAAAAGCCGGTCTGAAAACAGACCAGCCCCTATAAACCCTATCACTATGAAAACTGACGTAAAGGTAATAGGGGGCTCATCATTCGTCCAACAAAAAATACAGTGATAACAAGTGGAAAACATCAGTTATACACTTGTTAAGTGAGGGCGCAAAAGCTTGCATCGGTCAATAACCAATGCCAGATCGCGTTATGATACATGCAGATTCAATGATAAGAGGATGCATACGTGTAATACACCATTGTATGTGTTTATCAGTACCTGTACATTTGTACCATCCTTAAATACAATGGCCGGTCATCTTCCGGAAACCTGTTTTAATGTATTCCCATGACCAATAACAAATGCGGTTTATTACTGTTGCTGCTTTTTCC